TCAAGTCTGAAAGAGCTTATCAAAGAGTGTTTATGTGTGTGTCTTACCCTTTGATACCTAAGATCAGAAAATGTAGACTTCCTTGGATCTTGGTACAGTTGATAAAGCTGTCTATGTTACTGGAGTCCACTGTCTGTCTATGACTTGCTCCCGTTCCCTCACATACTACACAGAGAAAGAGAACAAATCTGAGGGACCACATGACACCAAATTAATGGTCTCTTATTCAAGACTCATAAGCATACACTGCATTCAGCTGCTGTGGTCCAGAAAATTAAATAACGGTTAGATGGACACTTTACCTTTGGGGCATAAGCCAATGCAAGGTTCACACTGCTTAATGCCATTTTTCTTTTTGTCTTTTTTCCCAGGAGGGCAACTGCTCACACATGCACTGCCATCCACAATAAAGTGTCCTGAAAAAAATATAAGGAAAAGGACATCCATTCTACACATCACACTCTTCATTATGTGTCTTAAGAGAGCTATGAATGTGCTTTGTAAACTACCATTTTTACAGCATCATATACAAACACAGTTCTCAAAGAAGAGCCACCTGTCATGAAAGTATATTTTGCATCATTTCTATTAAAATATCTTTAAAAATACGTATATATACATAACATTTCTATAAATAAAAATGATTAAAATTATAAAAATATATGTATTTTGAATTATTTAGTGGTTATTTGTTTTTGGATTTTGTGACTTTCTGTATATACTTCTGATGGTAAGTGACAGTGATTTGATTTGTTCATATTGCTTAAGTCAGATAAAAAAAATATCATAAATATTCTTAAAATTTCCATAAACAAAAATTATTCATATTATAAACTATATGTATTTTAAAGACTATTTATAAATAATTAATATATATATATATGTTTATGATTTATGATTTAGTGTTTTTTTCAGTGACTTTCTGAATATGCTTTTAATGGAAAGTAAAAGTCAATTTTCTTTAGTATACTTTTGGTATCTCTGATTTGATGTTGCTCAAGACTAGCAATCATTGTGGTTTAAAACCATGTATTATGTTGCAATTCCTAAAAATGGCACCAGCAATCTCTCCTGTGTTTTATTTACTCTCCAACGCCAACACAGGTGGTGTTTGGCAAGTGTTAATTGTGGACTCTCCGGCCACAAATTTAATCTAAAAGTACAACACAGTAAGGGGAGTGGTGTAGCACCATTCAAATCTGGCATTTGTTTAAACTTGTGTCATGTTTACCATGTTATTCATGGTCTGCCATGGATACGTCAGCGCAGTTCTGATGCACTGTCAATGAGCCATATCATCCAAATCTCTCACTGAATGCTTCCAGAGTTAATTTACAGTTCATTTACAATAATTTACTAACGTATACATCCTTTCCACCAGGTTTCAAACCAGCTATCTTTATCCACCAAGCCACCATTTCCCCAGAAACTGGTTATTTATTTTCTGGCTCATGCTTTAGTAAAACTCTCCTCTGTGGTAAACTGAGTTTAATGGCTCGTAACTCACCGGGACATTTGGGTACGCAGATGGAACCATACTGATACATGGCTTCAGAGTTGGGCTCCAGCTGAAAGGTCTGTCGGTTATACACCAGAGGCCAAGGGCAGTGAGGGACACAGGCGCCTGAGTGATTGACATGTCGACAGGCCTGTTGGGAGAGTATCAGAGTCAAAAGCCTGAGAAAAGTTTGTTATAATGCTTTGTTTTGTTTTCATTGTATTTGTCTCTTACAATAGATGTGGCCGGTCTTGAGCAATTAGAGTATAATGGCAATAGTGCTAGTACTCACAAAGCAGTCTGTGTCTCTTGGTCCAATGCAGCCTCCAGCACACTCTGTGTGGCAGCACTCATTAGGGTTGGTCCCGAAACAGTGGCCATGACACTGAGGCGCACACACTGTTTTTGTCACTGAAATATACACAGACAAATTACCTTAGTATGGTTTTGTATAACAGTAGGATATGTATTAAATAATACAAACTGCAAAGTATCACACAAGATACACTATAATTCACAAATTTGGGGTCAGTAAGAAAGTAGAGAAATTTTGAAAGAAACTGAAAGCTGAATCTCAGTTACTCACATTTCTGGCACTGATCTTTACGTGGACCCCAGCAGAACTCTCTGCACGCAGAATCACAGGATCCTATGAAACACACAGAGAGGTCAATGATCTAAATCAATGAAATTACAGGGATAGTTCTCCCAAAAATAAACATTTTGTCATCAGTACCAGACATTCATTTGGACCCCATACTGTCTCATTTGATCTCATTTTGTGCTTTTGTTTCAAAACAATTTTGAAAAAATGTCATCATTGGCATTTAAAGCCATTGGTTCTTGTTCCTCACAAAAAAATTAAATAAAGTTTGAAAAGGCATCAGAAAGCCTTTTAAGCTACTTTTATGATTCTTTTATGGCTCTCTTTTGTCTTTCAAATCATCATCATCCACTTTCCATACATGGTAAATCACAGCTCAAATCTTGTTGTCTTTCTTTACAGAAGAACTTGGATGGGAC